GAAAAGGCATGTTCCATGGTAGAGAAAGCACAACTCATCTCGGATGCTGTCTTCTGATTGGTCGGTGCTGTTTTCTGATAGGTCAAAAGCTTCTGATAGGTTGCCTTTTTGATCCTGTTTTGGGGAAGGCTTGTCTATAAATCAAGAAGAGCAGACGTTCATCAGGCTATCATTGGCATCATGGCTGGCAAACAGAGTGAACCGTATCACTTGGAGAAGATAGAGGTGTCTCAAGCCAGACGGTTAAGAACCTTGAACTATACTTATCATTTGACATTGAACCAAGGCTACTTGGAAGATGACCCACCACACCACCTGTCAACAGAACTGAAAAACTGATGAACTGAAACGTTAATTTGACAGAGTGATTGATGACATCTACCCAGAGGTGTCAGGCCAGAAGGGTGACCATACTGGTCTTTGTATCCGTCACCCCGCTTTGGAGTCTCCCATACGGATTCCATTTCGCCGCTTTGAAGATCTCCATGGCCAAGATATCTTGCATGCTGTGGAAAAAGTCCAGCAGTCAAACAAAGACCTTGTCATTGATGACACTATGGTTTTGAAATTATTACATGTAGTAGATCCAGACCGACTAGGATCAGGCAGTGGGCATCTGAATAACGTGGTTGGGCTGGAAACATTTTTTAGAAAAAGTGCATTGTAAGGATCTAGAACAAAGATCAATCCTGTTTGTAAAGGGCCATTGTTGTGGCACAGCATTATACACAGAAGACCAAACCACCTACCCAAGAAGGGGCATACCAGAGAGTGAGACTGATGAGAATGGGGCGAGACGATGTTCAAGGAAAACTGGCACAGACACTGTTTCGACGCCTTGGCATCCCTGACGGTCGCTGTCAGGGCCTGGACACCCTAGAACGTGTGGGATGTGCCTTGGCCAAAAGGAACAATCAGCTGAAAGTCTACAGTCAAGATATTTTCTACAGACTGTTCTACAAGAGTGATGAGGCTCCACCCGGCACCACCATTTTGCATTTATACCATCATCATGACCACTTTGATGTCATCACTGCCATGCCAGCCTTTTATGGGTCTAGCCATTACTGTGAGCACTCCAACTGTGGTTATGATCGTTCCAAAAGACACCCCTGCGCCAAGCAATACCGCTGTCATGCATGCCACCACCCCACATCTTGTGGACCCAAGGAAGATCATGGTATGTCTTGTTTGTCATGCAAAGGATGGTTCCGAAATGTCCAGTCACCCTCAGAGGGAGGACCCAGTGCCTGTCAAGCGTGACTTGCCTTGGTTACACCAATGGCCTAACATGTGTGCTCAGAAGACTGGTCTCCATGTAAAGTGTGATGATGATGATAATGATGATGATGATGATGATGGATGGAGCAAAAAAGCCCAGCAAAACAACACCAACTTCATCTTCTATGATTTTGAATGTATGCAAGACATGGGTGTGCACATCCCGAATTTGTGCGTGGTGCATTTAGGATGTGGGCGTTGCATGGGTCAAGCTACAAGCGAGTTGTGCCAAGACTGTCCATGAGACAAGAAGGTCAAGGTCCCAGCCGAGTGAATGTGTTTCAAGGTCCCATCACGCTAGACACGCGTGCATGGTTGATGAAACCCAAGAAGGCACGACCTGAGGAGGATGAAGCATGCAAGGGGTCAGCAGCACACCCTCCCGTGGAGGTGGACTCGTCCACCCTGCTTGAGGAGGAGGAGGCGGAGGATCCCATGGAGGTGGTCACACCCGCCTGATGAGGATGACGTCATTTATGCGATTGCTCATAATGTGTGGGGGTATGATGGACACTTGATCATGAAGGCCATACACTCGCATCTGGTGAAAAACCCAGACGTGATACTGAGAGGGCAACAGATTTTACAGATGAAAGTGGGACGTTTGTGTTTCAAAGATAGTTTTAATTTCCTGACCATGCCACTGAAAGCATTTCCAGAGACCTTTGCACCGGCTGAACTGAAGAAAAGGTATTTTCTTCACTTGTTCAATGCCCAGGCCAACCAGACCTACAGAGGTCCCTATTCTCCAGCAGCTATGTACGATCCTGAAGGCATGTCTTCCTCCAGTGGCATACCAAGAAATTGCAAGAAGGAACCATGTTGGACTTGCAAGAAGAACTCTTAGCCTACTGTCAGAGTGATGTCGACATTTTGAGGCGTGGATGTGCATCCTTCCGACAGTTCTTTATGGAGCAGTGCGATGTGGATCCTTTTGCAGAGGCAGTGACACTCCCCACGGCATGCCCGAAAACCTACAATAAACTCTTTCTGAAACCAAAAAACATTGCCATTCTCCCACCTCAAGGCCACCGGCCCGTTCCAAGACTATTCCTTGACCTGTTTGCACTGATTACGCTATCTCATGAAGACCACACCAGACCTGCACATACAGCATGCTAGAAATGGGGGTGAAGTGACTTTCACGTGTGCAGAGGGTAGACATCATTACAGTGTGGATGGATACGATCAAGTTACATGCACCGTCTTTGAATTCATGGGCTGTTTCTCAGCGCTTAGGCTATGGTCAGACAGAATATATCAGCACTCCTGTCAAGTACTTTGCTCTGTTGAGAGATAAAAGAAATACCATCAACGATGTTATGGTCATCAACGAACATATGGTTTTGGTGAACTATACCCACAAGAAAGAATTCCACACGCCCCATCCTAATTCCAATGTCGCCGTGGCTGCTTGGGTCACCGCACAAGCGCGTCTCATGATGTACAACATCCTCAAGCCGCTGGATCGCAGGGTCTTGTACTTCAACATGGACAGTGTCATTAATGTCCATCGCCCAGAGGACGTTTGTGTCAGGGGGTCCCAAAAACTATGCCTATGGGTAAATGCACCCAAGAATCGATGGAATGCACAACACGACCTGCAAAGTGGTTTCACTTTGAATTACAGAGCCTGTCAACACCTCAACTTTGACGGCATGAAAGACCTGATTGTTGGACAACGGTCTGGGGATATAATGAGGGTGCGAACACTCATCAGATCATGCGTGCAGGACTTCACCACGGGAACGATCTTCTAACCCAAGCCACCACAAAAGATTACCGCATCGTCTACAGTATAAGCACAGGTCTGTCTGTAGACATGGTCCCCTTTGGGTACAGAGACTAGACATTGTTTTTGTGAGGTTCTTAACGTTGTGTTGGCTGTTGGTGTTTTACCTTGAAAACATGCATGTTCGGAGAGAGTGCTGTTCACTTCAATCCATGAAGCCATGGAAGAAAACAATGGTCTGAAAGTGGATCGAAATGCAACCAATCAGAAGCTAGGGTTTTCGACCAATCAGTTGCCCCAACACAGAGTTGTGCTTTCTCTCCCATGGACCATGCCTTTTCCTATGGAAAAGAAACACAAGGTCTGTGCCAAACTGTGTTGCGTGTGGGACAGAAACCAACCAATGAGAAAGTAGGGTTATCGCCCAATCAGGAAGCAGGGTTTCAGTGCTTCTCCTATAAAAAGAACGAAGCCACACACCGTCACAGCCCCGGCACTGAATAAGAGATCAACCATGACGTCCTGATACAGCTGTATGAAGTTCCAGACCAACAGTCACAGTTACTTGTACTGCCCTGAAGTGACATGTACCGAGTGTCACACTCAAGGTCACCGAAGACGAAGATAAGCAGTCAAGGCCCATGCTACAACTGCCAAGCCGTTGGCCATTTTGCTGCAGATTGCCCAGAACCCCGCCGCAAGAAGACTCCAGCATCGCCGTCCATGTCAACACAAGTGACACAAGTGACCCATCTCATAGAAGACATGCATAACGATGTCCGTGCCCTAAAAGAATGCAGCACACAACTCCATGCGGACGTCACACCACGCCTAGGCAAAAGAAAACATGACAGAAGCCCCTCATGAAAGCTCCCTTCAAAACGCCAGTGACGTCATCAGTCTGAGGTGGAGGAGGAAGAAGATAGGCACCTATCATTTGAGCAAAATGACATGGCATGCTGCTTAACTTTGTTTTCCAGTTTCCAATAGTTTCCAGTTTCCTACAGTTTTCCAGTTTCCAGTTTGTTTTCAACGGCCCTTTTCAGGGCCACTCAACTCTCCCGAAAGAAATGCTTTGATCATTGCTTTGCCAACACAAACAACCGAACACCACCCCCAAAAGAACCACACACCCTCCCCCGTCATCTTGGAGGCACACGCCTACGAGTGACACCACACATCTATGTATGTATGTAAACACGAGTGGCTTCACGTTTGCATGGAGACATGAGTAAAACACCACATATGTCTATCTATCTATAAATATAAATATAAATATGAATATATATAAACATATGTTTGTAGTCACGGGTGACACCACGTTTGCATGGAGACACGATTGACAGTATGCATGTATGCATACACGAGTGCCAACACCGAGGCATGGATGAGCGAGTGACACTTCATATGTCTATATATCTATCAATATAGAAACGTAAGTTTGTAGTCATGAGTGACATCACGTTTGCATGGAGACACAAAGTACACCACGTAGGCATTTCTATATCACGTCCATGTCTGTCCATGTAGGTCCACCTTTAGAATTCAGACGTCCCTTCCACAATATGATCATGGTGGCAATGTTGGTGGTGGTGGAGGAGGCGGTGGCGATGGTGGACATGTCTACCAAAAAAAACCCAGGATCGATAAGGCACCAATCAGAAGCTTGGGTTTTCGACCAATCAGAGGCCACACATGCCCTGTGCGGGTCTCTGATTGGTCGAACAGCAGGTTGTGCTTTCTCTCCCATGGAACAGGCATGTTCCTATGGAAAATAAAAACAAGGGTCGGTCCGGTTTGAAGGCTCAGACAAGGCCCTGGAACGGACCAATCAGCGCACTGCATGTCGGACCAATCAGCGTGCTTCATGTCAGACCAATCAAAACAGCGGAACATTTCGATCCGCTCCCTCTTCTATAAAAAGAGAGCAAAAACTCTAGTGGGTTCAGATTCACTTGTGAAAAAAATCATTATCATCACACCGAGAATGGCAGAGATGAAGAGCTGTACAGATGCTTGTGAGGGGACCATGATTCTTCTGGGGACTGAGGGTGTGAATTCTTGTGGACCCAGGAGTGATGGTACGGATACTTGTGAGTCCAGATCTGAGTGTACAGATGCTTGTGATGGTAGGCTGCCACCGCCCAGTAAGCCACCATCGCTGCATCTACACTTTGAAAGAAGACTAGCTTCTTTTGAGGGGTGGCCAATGCAGATGAACCAGACCGCTGAAGAGATGGCTCATGGGGCCTTCGTGTATACGAAAAGTGCCGATGGCGTTTACTGCTCTCATTGCGACGTGCGACCGAGAAGATGGGTGCTCCACGACGATCCTTGGCTGGAACACCTCAAGTGGTCCTCTCACTACGCTTACCTCAAGCTGACCGGGCTGGTGAGACACAAGAAGAAGAACGTGGCAGTTACTACTTTCTGGCACTATCTGTGTGAGGAGAATGCGAATCAGAGCAACGCGAATGAGGAAGCTTCCCCCACCTTCCTAGGATGAAGTTTTCGTTCCAGTTCCCATTCCAGTTCCTGTTCCCGTTCCCGTTCCAGTGTTGGTGTTTTTTTCCTTCTCCAAACAGCCTTTTTCAGGGCCACCCAACTATCCTGAAGGAACACTTTCATCGTTGCTTTGCCAGAAAACACACACACAAAAAACCTCCTCATCCTCATCCTCCCTTCTCCTCCTCCTCCCTCCTCCTCCTCACTCTGCTTGGCAACCCTGATGCCCATGATGGCCTTACTTGCTTAAGTGGAGGATTTTACGTGGGCTTCTTTTATTGAAGTGGAGGATTTAACGTGTGCTTCTACTCCTCCCGGAACCAGTCGTGCAGCCATCTTGGAGGCGCACGCCTCCCAGAAACTGATGTACCGCCATCTTGAAGGCATGCGCATGCCCTCTCTGAAACGGACGTGACGTCATCTTTGATGCGCACGCATTACCCAGCATGCCCCTCTTCGCGCATCCAAGATGGCGGCACTTCCGGTAGGGAGATAACTCCTGCTGGCTTGGATACCAGGATGCTGTCCTTTACTACTCATGTAGCATATGAAAGGTCAACGTCAGAGAATAGTAAGTCTCGATTATCTGACGAAACAGATGCCAGTGGACATAAGAGGTAAAATAGCAAAGAAAATTAATGGAAAAATTGTGGATCACTAAAAATCATTGATGACATCAGGTGTTTGCGAAAAGGGTAAGCATGTCCTGCCCCTCCGATAGCAACCGCCATTCTCAGAATTTTCATAAAAACGGACACCTCACTCCTGCCATGCTGCGAGTGCATGTAAACAAATCAGACAATCAAGCGATGGATCAGAAATCAAGTGACACGATAGCGCATTTACTAATTTTGTTGAAACTGGAAACCGATATGTTTATATTGAATTAGGTCTGTTGTGCACAAAGGCAGAAATTCTGCTGTTTATCTAAGAAATAAAAGACGCGGGGAAGTTGTTTAACGTAGAATAAAACAATGCAGCAGGGAGAATAAACCACGACTGTGCAGCCCCAAGTGCTTTATTCTCCCTGTTGCAGTGTTGTATCGCGTAGCTATCTGATATTTTTAGTCTAAAGAAAAAACTTTTTACAAATATGTAATACGTATAAAATATTACAAGGTTAATGTGGACACATTGACATCAATACAGCTGGCTTGGCTATATAGCAGACGTGCTTGGGAAGAGCTCTGTAGCTTGGGTCTTGATTGGCGTGGTTGATTATCGATGTTTGGACGTGTAGATAGTCAACGATATGTCAAGACTGTAATGGCAGAGATCCAGAGCGCCATACAACCTGTTGATCAACAACACACAAGTCAACATGCTGAACACCAATCATCAGCTGCGGTCAACAGAAAACGACAACACTCCGGTGACACTTCATCTGAGAGAAGCAAGAAAAGCAAAACAGCCGATCAGACAATTGAGACCGTGCACACAGACAGACAATTGTTTATTTGAGTCTCACCCCAGCAATACAGTATAAATGTTACAAACGTATATAAAACAATATAAAATTATTACTTAGGCCACTCAATACAGAGTTATGAGAAACTAAAACGTTTAAGATTATGTACAGCAAACATGTATAAAAAAAAGTAAAGAAATATCACACTTTGTTATAAATAACCGATTTACGTTTTTGTAAAATTGCATGGCCGGTTTTGGCACTAAGATAACACATAACATTATTTGATAAAACAATAGACACTTTTTCAACTTCGCTAAGAGTATTAAAACCAGGATACATATCACAGAATTGTGCTAAAAATTCATATCCATGATAAAGCACATTTAACAGATGCCATGAGACTGGTACAATTAAAGATGCATCTGACTAGTGAGGCTGAGAGGGCCATTGCAGGTCTTGGATCTAGTGGCACCATGTACGCTACTGCCTTAAAAATGTTAAAAGAACAGTTCAGCCAGGAAAGTTATATTGCAAGAGCATATGTGAACCAGCTGACTAAGGGGAACAGAATACAGGGACGAGAGGCGCTGCGAGATTTCTCCTTAGATGTGATCAATTACATAGCAACTTTAACACGGATGGGTTCCTTTGCAGATATAAACGCAAATGATAATTTGCGGCAGATAGTAATGTGTATGCCAGGGTACCTTATTGATAGATGGAAAGTGAAGGCATCTGATATCAGAGAAAGAGGTGAACGGCTGTCAATTCGCCATATCAGTGATTTTATCAGAAAACAAGTAAAAGCAGAGTTCGACCCAGACTTTGGGGATTTGGAAAGAAGAAGTGATTCCAGAAGGATACAAGGGTTATATTCTCATCAGCAGATGAAGAGGGGGCCCATATGTTATCTTTGTTCTGAAGAACATAGAATCTCAGATTGCCCAACATTCACAGATTGTACTGTTCCAGAGAGGACTCAGAAGGTTCGAGACCTACGAGAGACTGTAAGACCAAGAAGGCCTGCCGTATCAACGGATGTTCACGTACACACAACAAGATGTTGCATTTTGACCCACAGGTGGCCAGTTCTATCATTGATACAAATAGTATTCTACCAGTGGTCAGGGTGATGTTTAAATCCTCAAATGGTAGGACCAGGGAAGGTAACGTCCTAATAGATGGAGGTGCAGGAACCACAATCATTCGCAAAGAATTTGCAAAATCACTTGGTCTCCAGGGTAACAAGGAGAGACTTGATCTATCACTTGTAGGATGTGAGAACTTGAGAACATTAACAGTCGCGGATTGAAATTTTGGATTTCTTCACTTGAAAGCAGTGAGGCATTTGAAGTAGAAGCTTATGAGATTGATAAGACTGTTTTGAATGTTAAGCCCTTGGATAGAAACTGGTTGAGATCATTCCCACATCTTAACAACATCGAATTGTCGCACAAGGCGGGACCTATTGATCTCATCTTGGGAGTTCAGTATTCTCACTTGCATGCTGAAGAAGAGGTTCGTCAAGGTCTTCCATTTGAGCCGATCTGAAAGAAGAGCAAGCTTGGATGGTATATTATGTGTCCAGACAAAACTCAACGTTCAGTGATATGCTCAGTGAACTTTGTTGAGAAACTTAATCTTGACAAATTCTACCAGTTTGAAACATTGGGGGTACAAGCTCCAAATTGTAAATGTTCTGTTGAAGTACTCTCAAGTGAGGATCGCATAGCACTCAAACTGATGAAAGAATCGCGTCGCACGGTTCAGGACAGATACGAGATTGGTCTTCCTTGGAAGAAGAACTCTGCCTTACTTCCAAACAACTATAATGTAGTCTATAGAAGACTTGTGTCTCTTGAGAAAAATCTCCTGAAGAATGACCAAAAGGCTAAAATGTATTGTGATGCTGTGAATGAGTATGAGCAGAAAGAATGGGCAGAAAAGATTGATGAACCCAATGTGAAAACTAATGGTTTCCCAGTTTACTATCTTCCACACCATGGAGTTTATAGACCGGACAAGCCCAGTACCCCATTGAGAGTTGTGTTTGATCCGGCATGTGTGTGTGATGGTGTATCCCTCAACTCATATCTGTAGAAGGGTCCAGGTCTCACTGGGAACTTGCTGAGTGTTCTTCTGAGGTTTCGAGAGGACAGAGTTGCTATAGTTGGAGACATCTCCAAGATGTATCTTCAGATCAGGTTGAGAGAGAGTGACACTCATTTACACAGATTCCTATGGAGAGACTTAGAGGTGGATAGAGAGCCGTCAGTGTACAGATTGCTCAGAGTGACTTTCGGTGATAAGTCCTCTCCAGACATGGCAAGTTATGTAATGCTTCGAATTGCTGAAGAGAATGAGGACAGATATCCTGATGCATCAGCAATTTTGAGAGACGACAGGTATATGGATGATCTGATTCATTCATGTGAAACCCAAGAAAAGGCTACGAAGAAAATCAATGAGGTTAATGCTGTGTTAGCTACTGGACAGTTTCTTCGCAGTTGGTTCGTGAACAGAGTAGAGAAAATCAACCACAATCGTCTTCCTCTGTCAGTCTTGATGGTGAAGAAATCAAGACCTTGGGTATTCGATGGAATCCGGATACTGATAATCTGAGTTTTACAGTCAAGAATCTGGTTGCAGAGAAATACACTAAGAGACAAGTATTATCCAGAATGTCAATGTTGTATGACCCACTTGGACTAGCTTTAGCCATCACGATCAAAGCTAGAGTAGCTATGCAGGATATCTGACGTCAGAAATCGTTGGATTGGGATGATGAGTTACCCAAAGAAATGTATGTTCAGTGGTCGAACCTGTTTCAGGAACTGCAAAGGTTGAGAGATGTTCAGTTTCCATGTTGTTTGAAACCTCCTGATTCCGTCAACACAACAACTCTACACGTCTTTGCAGACGCAAGCATGAAAGCCTATGGAGCTGCAGCATATCTCACATGTGCAACAGAAAATGAGACTTCAACACAGTTGATTATGGCAAAGGCTAGAGTTGCGCCATTGCATCAGACAACAATACCGAGATTGGAGCTTATGGCGGCATTGATTGCTTCAAGGTTGGCTACAACGATCAAAAGAGAAATCAGACAGAAGCTGTCAGATGTGATATTGTGGACAGACTCACAAATTGTGCTTCATTGGATCAGAGCAGAATCAATATCATTCAAAGCCTTTGTTGGTGTCCGCATAGCCGAGATACAATCTCAATGGAATCCAACACACTGGAGATATGTGCCAACATATTGGAATCCTGCAGATGATCTTAGCAGAGGAATTTCTTTGGAGGAATTGAATGGTAGCTGGATGAATGGGCCAGAATTCTTGAAGTTACCAGCTAATAAGTGGCCGACCCAGCCATGTGATGCAGCAACTACTGAATCCAGTAAGGAGAAAAGGAAGTGTCCAGCTATTGCTGCTTGTGCACCAATCAACCCTGTCATAGAAGCAGATAAGTTTTCATCATGGCAACGACTTCTGCAAGTTACAGCATACTGCCTAAGGTTTGTCAGGAAACTCAAGGACAAGATACACAAGGTTTCATAACTAGGGGATAATGCTATGACAGTGAGT